AACCATGAATGATAGGGCTAAGGCTGAGTGAAAACCCAGTCTTATAATACAGCGAGTCTCTGCTGTCATCATTCAAAAAACTATCCTGTGAAGCTGACAGGAAAGTGAGACACAGCTCCACATCCATTACAGAAAGCCGATTGCCAAGTGCTGTAGGATGCTTCGAACTGTTACTAGGTGGTGATGCTGATGAAATCAAGGGTTGAGAACAAACATTCAAGGCTTCCACAGGCAAGGTTCAAAGAGCCTTAGATGCCTTCCCTGGGGTGTGGCCAGGATATCAGGTCACTAGGCAAATGACATTCCTCACCAACTTCACAGCTGACTGATGCTGTATATAGAGGGTGTGTGGCCTTGTCCCGTCCACCTTTTCCTTCTCTGCTGTGCTGTGGGTCGGACTCACTGCTATGACTACAGCAGCCTGTGCAGGAAATGTGCTCTTTCTTTAAGGAGCACTTGCAAACATTCCCTGATGCCCAATTATTTCAAGATAGTTTATTTTCAAAATGCATCACAACACTGGCCCATTCTGCCAAATGTACAAGCTACAAATGCTTGCTCAGTGGCTGAGGGGCACAAGGTAGTATCAGGTCTGTAAAGTGATAAAAGTCCGAGTAAAACAAACATTCAAATTTCCATAGGAACACAGGTAAGTGTGACCCATCTCCTAGCCTTCCATACTGCATCTGTGCCAACTCCTACTCTTATAAAGACATTCTAAATCTAGCAGTAGTTAAGTTAAATGGTTCCCCGCCAAAATCCCTTAATTCAAGCTAAACTTGCAGGTAAGAGCTACAAGAATGGATGGCATCTACACATTGATGCTAGCAGAAGCACAAGATGATGGATGACGGTCCATCCCGCCTTCCTGGGCACAAGACATGGGGAGAGTGCCAACACCCTGGTCCTCCACTTCTGGTGTGAAGCCGTGGTTCTGGATATGCCTCATGAGCTGCCACGTTGGCCTCGACATTACATGGTAGATAGAAGACCTCTGGAACCCGCTGAAAGTAGAGACAGCACAACCGTGTTCTCAAAGAGCATCCAATCACCCACGTGCATTTCAGGCAGGTTAGAGTGCTCGACGATCTGGTCAAGGCCATCACACATTGGTCCCCAGATGCTGGATGAGTAATACTTCTTAATACTTCTCATTTCTCTTTGGCAGCAGGGGCTTCACAGGCACATGATCATAAAGAATGCAGTTAAATGACCCATACACTCAGACATTCATGTAATACATGAAGGTTTGCTCACTGGACTCAGGACTCATCTTCATCATCAGAGCCTGTCTGTTCCTTCCATACGATTTTTTTTTTTTGGCAGTGATATTAACTGCCAGTGTGAAACTTGAGGCGACACATAGTATCTGCCTGGCTCGCTATAACTCTCATTCCAGAGTCGTGCGAGAAGTACTTGTCCAGAGCAGGGTTGGTAACACTGGCGATCTCTTCAAATTTAAGCTCTGTATCCTCAGGTACAGGAAAGCCACCACCAATACCAAACAGACACAGTTAGCTTCCTTCTTTGAAAGGTCATTGTCATACCTCATTTTTTTCTGACATTTAATTTCACCTGGCCCTTCACAAATCATTAGTGATCACATCATCCAGATCACATCTGCAGACATTAGTCTTGCTTCAGCCCCTGCCCCCCCCACCCCCTGTGTATTTCATGGTCTTGTTGAGGTGCTATCGCTGGTGGTATTTACTTAATTCATGTTCAACTCATTTCCTTGTTCTGGAAGTGTGGATTCTATTATTTCTAACAGGTTTTTCATTATCTGTTGATTTTTCTCTCTACAAGTATAAACTATGTGAAGTTAGAGTCATGAATACTATGAGTTTAAATTCAAGGAAATTACTTCTATGGAAACTTGAAGCCTTATTATTAATATCAAAATAAGGTATTAGTTTTGTTTAGACTCATCACCTGGAATGGTATTATGCACTAGGAAATGTAGGTGTGTTCATTTATCTGGTAGTATTAATCTTCCCTCATTTACTTCCTTGAATTTGTGCAATTTTGGAACAATCTTATTGTCATTGGAAGACTAATGTTCACTGTTGCAATTGTCCATTGTTCCTCTTTTCAAGTGTTGTTTGCAAAAGTCAAAGAATTCTCCCCACTTAAATCTTTTTTAAACAAATTTGTATGGAATGCATACCCCTCAGACCTTACCTTTTTCATGGAGCCCATTTGAATCTTTGGTTCAAATTTAGATGCTTGAATAGAGGAATCTAAAATGGCTAAAAGACACTTAAGAAATTGCTCAACATCCTTAGCCATTAGGGAAAAGCAAATCAGAACAACTCCAAGATACCATCTTACTTCTGTCAGAATGGCTAAAAGCAAAAACACTAATGACAGTTTACGCTGGAGAGGACGTGGAGAAAGGGTAGCACTCCTCCACTGCTGATGGGAGAGCAAACTTGTGCAGTAGAAATTCAGTATGGCAGATTCTCAAGAAAATGGGAATCAGTCTACTTCAAGATGCAGCAATTTCACTCTTAGGCATATACCCGAAAGAATGCCTAGGCCCTGCCCCAAATGATGTGACAGACATTGGTGATCCCCAAGGAAGACCTCCCCTTCCCTGGGAAGTGGATATGGGTAGGATGGGGGTGTTGGCAGGGGCATGGGAGGATGGGAGGGAGAGGTAACTGGGACTGATGTGTAAAATAAGAGTGTTTCTAAAAATAAAAAGAAAGGAATGTCACTACACAAGCCCTTCGCTGACCACCACCTGAATTCTGAAGAGCTACATCTTCAACCTATACAAAAACTTTATGTGAAAAATCTGAGAGATTAAGGGACATATGAAGTGACTCTCTAGAAAAGAGTATGAAAAATAGGAAAATAATAGAAGCAGAACTAAGAAATATCTCCAAGTAGCAAGGTTGTAAGGTGTGCAAATATATGCAGATGGGAAATTGTATTTATTCATGAACAGCATTCTTTCTTATGAAGCCCAAGAATTCACTTTCTATATTAACTTTGGTGTACTTAATAATTGTTGTGTTGTGATGTGTAACCAAATATACTTTGGAACTATGGATATATTTGCCAGCTCAAGGAAAAGAGATGAATTTGCCTGATTGACATTCTCCTGTGAAGTTAAAGGAATAAATTAATGTTGGCCACACAAAAGAAAGCCCATTTCACTGTGGAATCCACTCTGCTCTGTCCTCTGTGGTTCTTCCTCCTGAATCTTCTGACCTGATGCTAAAATAACGAGGACTCTATATCCTGCTGCAGAAATTTAGCAGTGTCCTGCAGTGGCACAGAAGAATCCCAAACTGACTTTACAAACTCACTGCAAAGCCCATTACATTAAAAAAAATTATCATTAAAAAGTTTATGTCACTCTAGCAAAACTATGAGAAATTAAATAAAAAGGTAATTTGACATCTAAATTCATAAGGAACAAAAGATACAAGAAGTTAATTAAGTTAGAGGTTGGTGACACACCAGAGTTCATTGCTAGGTAGCACACGATAATTAGAATTTTCAAACTAAAAAAAAGAATAAAATAAAAAGAAGGAGTAGGAGGAGGAGGAAGAGGAGGAGGAAGAAGGAGAAGGAAAAGAAGAAGAAGAAGAAGAAGGAGGAGGAGGAGGAAGAAGAGGAGGAGGATTGCTTTCAATGTGTGTCTTAGTGTTACCATTACTGTGATGAAAGACCTGGCCAAAATCAGGTTGAGGCATATTTGTAGTATGCTTTCACATCACTGTACATCATTGAAGGAAGAGACGACAGGAACTCTAACAAGGTAGGAACTTGAAGTTAGGAGCTCATATAGACGCCATGAGAGGGCTTTACTCCTTACGGCCTACTCAGCCTGCTTTCTTATAAAATTCAGGAACACTTGTCCAGGGGTGCCCTTACCTACAATGAGTTTTGCCCTCCTGCATCAATTAGTAAGTAACAAAATTATCTATAGGCTTGCATACAGCACTATCTTATAGAGACATTCTCAACTGAGGTTTCCTTTTCTCAGATGATTTTAGCTTGGGCCAAATTGATATAAAACTAGCTTGCTTTGTGTGAAATAGAACTAGAAGCGATATTTGATGTGGAACTTTCAGGTTTGTGGATCACAGAGATTTCAAGGCCGGACTCATTCTGTAGAATGTCTCTGCTTTTCTAATAGTGAAGAGCTTGAATAAGAAAGATCATGAATGGTTCATCTCTGTAGTACAGGACACTGACCTGGGAATTATTTAGTATCTTAGAAAAAGGGGTATGCTAGAGACTTTCAAAAGGCAAAGAACAAGTTCCTAAATTGATTGAGTGAAAAAGGCCTTGAGAAATGGAGGGTATCCCTTGTGGGGGGTGACAGTTTGCTTACGACACTCAGTGTCTAGCCCTTCCCTATAGGCCATTAAACTATGTTCATAAAAGGAGATTTTTACATTCTCTTATTTTAACATATGGCTATAAATGTATGCATGCATATTCACCTCCCTTTGTTCCATTCTATGCATCTAAGTTTCCATCAAAGTTATATCTCTGTTCATGGCTTGCCTGATGATTTATCACATAAAACCCCAAAGAAGAAAAACAAAACAAAAAAAAAAAAAACAAAAAAAAAAAAAAAAAAAAAACCAAAACACTTTGGCCTCACCCAAATTGCTTGCAGTTCCCAAAGAATTAAATCTCCAACTGTTTATCTTATATTCAAGGTTAGAAAAGTATGGTTTTATCCATGCAGTGAGAAACAAAACAAAAATACTCTATTTAAAGGATTCTAGACTAATTATATCCTGTAGTCCCCGGGGGAAACACTTTCTCAGTAGTGAGCCTCTGATCCCCCCCCCCATGACCTGTGGAGGGTTTCTATAGACCGAGACTTCCTGTGCTACTGAACTGAGGTGAGCACACCTTGCAACAGTCCATAGGTCTGACAGACTTGGCTAATTTGCATGTGCCCAGAGCATCCCCCTTAACTGACAGATTCTTAGGTGACTGTTCACAGTCCCTGCAGGAGTCAGTCCCAGTCAGGACACAGCATGGCCATGAAGACCCCTACTCAGGCCCTGGCAATTTGGCTACTCTGGTTCTCAGGTAAGTTGTACAGGATATAAATTGTTTTCAACCCAGAGTAGCCATCACACCCCTTTTAATCAGGAAATTCCTACCAAACATTGTTAATTGTGTTATTTTGTTTGTTTTTCTTCTTTCAGCTGCCAACTGTGACATTCAAGTGACACAGTCTCCCCCCTCCCTGACAGCATCTCTAGGAGACAAAGTGACCATCACTTGCCTGGCAAGTCAGGGCATTAGCAATGAGCTAAACTGGTACCAGCAGAAACCAGGAAAAGCTCCTAAATTACTGGTTTATAATGGAAATAGTTTGCAATCTGGTGTCCCATCAAGGTTCAGTGGCCAATATTCTGGGAGAAGTTTCACTCTAAGCATCAGCAGCCTGGAGCCTGAAGATGCTGGAACTTATTTTTGTCTACAGCATTACAGTGCTCCTCACACAGTGACACACGCCATGACATAAACCACTGAGGGAAGCAGAAGTTTGAGGCTATGCTGTGCCAGCTGCTGTTCCCTGAGTGTATATGTGCTCAGACTATTGTGTATCAAGAAACAGTTTGCTTGAAAGTACTCAGTTATCTGTATGTTAATCCTTTTTCCTCTGGCCCTCTGTCAGTATTCAATGGGCATCTATCATAACAAAGGGAATAAACTGCCTAACCATGCTGTCCTTGGAGAGGTCTGGGAAGTTCAGGGAGACATTGCTGATGCTTCAATCTTCATGCGACATACAACAGGAGAGGCTCTATCCTTGCTTCATACGGTTTATCACAGGTGATGATAGTAGTGAAAACCCTCTCTTTTGCCTTTGAATTTCATCCTGGATTTTATTGAGCAACTCTACAGGAAACCAGGGGAAGATAAAGAAAATAAACAACATACTTCCAGAATTATTCTGATGGCATTTCCAGAGATTTTCCGATCATGAGAGACCCAGAGCTGTTGAAATGTAAAAGACTGGGGCTGGTTGGAACATCATTTCCCTACATTGGGATTCTATTCTTGAGAGATGTCTTGGCCTAAGATCACAGGCCACTGCCTCTTTTGCATAAGGGGTTAATTGCTTAAACCCTTAAGATGACCTGCCTCACGAGTGTCCAAATTAACAAAACCAATGTGGATTCAAAATTTTAAAATGTTGGTTTTTTACGTTTTGAACATCTGAAGGTATATAATATTTAGTCTACTTTTTTTGTTCCTTTTTATCCATTTTGCTCTGGAAAATGAACGAAAAATATGGTTGTTTCTGCTCTTTTGCAACATTATGGGTATAATTGTTTGTAAAATGAGTCACTCTACCATTCTACTGGTGTGTTTTGATTTCTTTCTAATTATTTGTGTTAATAATTTATTAAATATTCCTCACAGGGGGCACCAAAATGTGTCCACTGATGCATTAAATAAAACTCATAGGGTAACTAAAATGTATTGTTGGCACATTAAGGAATAAAAACAGAAACTACATGTTTGTACCAACCACTTATCAAATATACCAGGGCAAAGAAAGGGAATAATTCTCTCACTTGTAGCCTGCAAATAAGCGTACATTTAGCACCCCAAATACAATAGAACCCACCCACCTATCATCTGACCATTTGGTTTGTGTATAAAGGCACTTACTGATAGGCAAAGAATTTGGTCACATTTCAGAATACAATATCAACATACAAAAATATGCAAAGCATGGCTACATGACAACAGTGATGAACTGAAGAAGAAATAAATAAGATTGGGAAAAAAGGGGGAAGAATAGAGGAGGAAGACTTAGAAATACATTTAAGCAAAGGGGAAAAATGCCTTGTTTCCATTATGTTTCTGTTCATGTGATGAAATACTCTCCGTTTAGGACAGAAAAGGGTTTATTTGGCTTATGCGTTCTACATCTGCTTACAGCTTATCATTGAGGGAGCCAGGGCAGGAACTTGGCAGGAACTGGAAGCTGGAATTCAAGTAGTGACTGCTGAGGAATGCTGCTTACTGCAGTTCCTGGGGCTTGCTCAGTTCTCTCTCTTGTAAGTTCCAGGGCCATGTGACCAGAGGTAGCACCAAGCCCACTGGACAGGGTCCTCCCACATCAATTTTCAGCCAAGACATTTCACACACTTGCCCATATGTTTTAAATTAAATCTCAATAATTTGATTTTACCAATAAAGACAGAAGCTGGGGTCAAAATCTAATAGTTCAGAGAGGCAGAGAAAGCAGCCTGCCGCTTTCTCCTCTGCTGCCATTCCTGAAAATGGTTTCTCCCATGCCAGTTCAAACAAAACTCCTCCAACCAGATGTCCCTCCCAACTACTTCCTATGCCCTCTCTCTGTCAAAGTCTCTGTCTTCCTGACTCCCTCTTACATTCACCGTTGTTTTGTTTTGTTTTTGTTTTCCCCCATCAACTAGTTGCTTGCTTTTCCCTTTTCTCCATGGCTCTAACTCTACCTATTCACAATATTCAGGCAGAAAGCACACAACAAAGAGTGAAAAACACACTCTCAAGGTCCACAGTGTAATCAAATATCGTGCAATATTCTCCCTTTTTTGTCTAAATGAAAAGGAAAGGTTTTTAACTCCAGTACAGCAAACCTATTTACAATAATGAAACAGTGTCTTCCAAGTTTCCCCACAATATCCAGCTTAAGTATTTTTGAGTTGAAAGTTCTGTAAAATGCTTGTGGCAGTCTCATACAAACTCAGTGACTCGAAAGTCCCGAGCAGTTTGTAGTTTGGAGCTGATTTTGGTTGGTGTTTGCCAGCTTAGTGACTGACAATTACCAAAGTCCAGGTGAATTTATCATTGCTGGGCCCCATCATGTTCTTGGAGACCTTAAAGGTTACTATTAGGAATGGTCATGAACAAAACAAGACAAAAACAAAGCACTTGAGCATTTTAAATGCCATATTCAGCAGATGTCTGAAGGGTTTGAACCACTATAAAATACATCTATTAAAATATATCCAAGGTACACAAACTTAGCCCCTAGTTACCTGCTTCAGTCTGAAAACATGTGAAAGAAGCTAGATGAAACTTATTCTATAATGAGAAAGTGCTATGTATGACATCACCACAGAAAGTTATCTATACGTAATGATCTTATAGACTGAGGTGTTATTTATACCTTAAGAAAAATTCCAGAGAGTCAAATGGAAACCAAGTGATAATTAGATTAGATTAGTGAAAATAGAATAGTTCCTTATATTTTGTTTCCCTCTGTACCATACTAGATTGTTCTGATATGAGGCAGAGACTTTGGATTTTCCTTTAGCAAGCATGCATGATTTTAGACAAGGAGAGAGCCAAGCTCCAACTTCAAAGACAGCTTTAATTTTTAATTGAATTAGGACCACATATGACCATTTGCCATTTATGTAGAGGGCAGCAGAAAGAAGCATTTGGGATGATTTAGGCCATTCTACTCTGTTAGAGATGGGCAATACCATTTGGTCAATTTACTCTTTCTTTTGGGACATTTTCTTTTGATGATCTACCCTTTTTCTTCAGATGTTTCATTTGTTCAGTGGTCCCTGAATTCTTCAGTTGAATTCTTTTAATCTCCTGGAAAGATAAAAAGCAAAATCCTGCCCCATCTCTTACTGTGTGGGGTTTTCCTTTTTCAGCAAGTTCTGTCTTCCCTACGGCAAAATGATTTTTGGCAACAGAAAAAGCATAATCTTCCAATTAAAAATATTCTTTTTTGAAAACTTGAACCTACATATATCTTAGTTTATGCCAATAAACATTCTCTTTTCTCTTTATATGCAAACTCAAGGTTTAAATGTATTTCTTTTTAGATTCAAAAAGACATTCACCTTGAATTTCAGCCTGACTTTTTCAAGTGGCTTTTGAATTTCAAACACTGTAATTTTTATGGACCTGCCTCTGCCTTCCAAGTGTTGGGATTAAAGGTGTGCACCTCTCATGTGCTTGCGTTAAATGTGTGAACGAGAGCCTGGCTATGGATTCCTTATAATATTCTCATTGGGATTTTCCTGGTATAATTTGATTCTCTATTTCCCCTTATTTTATTTTATTTTTATTATTTGTGTGTGTGTGTGTGTGTGTGTGTGTGTGTGTGTGTGTGTTAGGGATAAACTTTTAATTCTTTTGAATGTGTAGTCTATCATTCATGCTAATTTATTCTGAATTTGCTTCCTGGAAAATTTTACTATTTTACTATGAGGCCAATTTGTCCACTATTTCATTATTTTCAGACATTTTTGTTGTCTTGCTTGTATGAACTACACATTTGATATCTTTGCTAAGTTTTGATAGGTTTTGTCATTTACATTCATGACTCCCATGACAAGCTATCTTTGCCACATTTCTGTCAGCTAGTTTGATGACCTTATATAGTTATACCATTGCACACACACCATAAATCAGACAAGATCTTGATTTTCCTTTTGTTTTCTTTAGCTATTTGTCTATAGTAAATAGTGTGCTATTACTTCAGCATGTTGGCAGTTCCTTCTGAGTAATAGCCATTCCATTCCCCAGTCTATAGATCACCATTTTTCCTTTAGTTTTGGTTGGGAAAGATCTTCTAATCAAATGGACCCAAGAAGAAAGCAGGTGAAGTCATCCTAATATCTAACAAGTTAGACTTCAAACAAAAATCAATAAAAAGAGATGAAGAAGGTCATTTCATATTCTTCACAGGAGAAATCCATCAGCACAAAGTCTCAATTCTGAACATCTATGCCCCAAATACAAAGGCACCCACATTTGTAGGACACTACTAAAACTCAAAGTTCATATAAAACCTCACACTCTCATAGTGGGAGACTTCAGCACCCCACTCTCATCACTAAACAGGGCCACCAGACAGAAACTTAACTCAGAAACAAAAGAACTAACAGAAGTTAGGTCCCAATTGGGTTTAATAAACATCTATAGAACATTCCAACCAAACACAAAAGAATATACCTTTTTCTCTGCTTCACATGGAACCTTCTCTAAAATCGACCACATACTAGGCAACATAACAAATCACAACAGCTACAGAAAAAATTGGAATAACCCCCTATCTTATTAGACCACCATGCTTTAAAGTTGGAATTTAACAACAACACAAATTGCAGAAACCATACAAATTCATGAAAACCGAACGACGTGTAATTGCACCATTCCTGGGTCAAGGAAGAAATAAAGTTAAGAAATTAAAGATTTCCTAGAATTCAATGAGAATGAAGACACAACATACCCAAACTTATGGGACACATTAAAAGCATTGCTACAAGGAAAGTTCATTGCACTAAGTGCCCATATCATTAAATTGGAGGATAGACACATTAGAAAATTAACAGAACCGAAAGCCCTAGAATTAAAAAAAAAAAAAAGCAAACTTACCCTGGAGGAGATGACAGGAAAAACATCAATTTGAGGGCTGAAGTCAATAAAGTAGAAACTAGGAAAAAAAATATAAAGAATCAATGTAACTAAGGCTTGGATCTTTGAGAAAAACAACAGGGT